GCGGAGCGGCGCCGGCCGAGCGCGGGGCCGAGGGCCTGGCGGGCGCAGCGCGGCGGAGGCCGGAGCAGCCGAGCCGGAGCCGGAGCCCGAGCGCGACCGCCGCCTGCCGGGCCTCCCCTCGCCGCGGCCGGCCGCCGCGCTCCCGCCCGGGCGCCCAGCTATGTACTCCCCGTACTGCCTCACCCAGGTACCGGCCTCCGCCCCCGCGCGACCGGGGGAGGGAGCGGGCGCGGGAGGCCGGCGGGCGGGCGGGCGGAGGGGGCGCGCGGCGGCCAGCGGGAGTGAGCCCGCGGGCGCTGAGGGGTGCAAGTCGTGCCGCCGGGAGTCCGGGCACGCGTGTGGGAGTCACCGCGCGCGTGCGACCCTGGCCACCCGGAGGACTCCTGTTGGGGACTTCGCTGGTGACCCTGCGTGCGTGGCGCTGTCCCTGGGGCACAGGGCGGGAGTGCGTGAGAGTGTGCGCGCGCGTTCTACTGGGGTGCGGTGGGCAGCGGGACTCCAGCCGACCTGTGGGGTGACTGTGGCGCGCACCGGGGCAGCGTGGCCACTGGCAGTGTTTGCAAGGGTGACAGAGTGGCCGGAGGGTGGTCCCGAGGACACAGAGAGGACCTTGGGTCTGCCGATCTCCCTGGGGCCGGCGCAGCGGTTCCCAACGGTGGCAGTGTCTGGGGTGTTTGGCGGCTGCCTCTGCGTGCCGCTGGGGTGCCCCGGGCGGGCCGAACTGCCCGGGCGTCTCCCCAAAGTCTTTGTTCAGGCCTCACATGGGAGCGGGGCTAAGAAAATGGCGGGGCTCCCAAATTTCGGAGGGGCAGAGGAGGGGAGGGAGGAACGGGCGTACTGCCAGCTGGGGCCGCGCCTCTCCACCGACCCTGGACGTCGCAGCCGCGCCCCCCCCCCAAAAAAAAAAAAAAAAACTTTCCTTGGTGCAAACTTTCCTGTACCAGCGACCTGGGCTGCTGCGGAGTGGACCTGGCGGCACCCTGGGAATCCCATCCCGCCACTCGGAGGCAGGAGGGGCGGGAGACAGCGGTGGACACAGACCGCTGTGTTGCGACCACACCGTCGGGTCAGCCTCGGGTACAACAGCGCCGACCTTGGCGCGCTGGAAGAGCGAGTCCCGCCTCCAGCGAAGTTCTCTGCGCGGCTGAGGCAGAGACAGAGGCCTGAATCATGCTTATCCTGCTGTCCCACTCTCCCTGGGTCGTAGCATGAGGCTCTGAGTAGGCACAAAATACTATAGTGGCCCCAACAGCACTGCCTGCAGGGCCAGGCCACTGGCAGGTAACACAGATTCGGCAGAGGGGACAACCTGGGGTTGCCTAGACCTGCTTACTGGCCAGGCCTGTCTGTGGCAATTCTCTAGGCCTGGGGCTCCAATTGTCCCCTTTGCCCAGCTTGAGCCCTGCCAGCGTGCCCACGGTTTATAGTGGATGTCCAGGTGGATGTGGCCAGTGACTGTGCCTGGGGTGTGCCAGGAGGTTTTGAAGGGGCAGGAGGGCACATTCAGGTGGGTGTGAATCGAGGCCTGCTTGTGCTCTTGTATGCACAGGTGCAAGTTTGTGTGTGTGAGAGAGAGTTAATCTAGAGCCTTCGTGCGGCCCTGTGGGCTGGCTGAGATCAGGCCTGCGTGGCATAGACATGTATGACCCAGACAGCGGGTTTTCCTATACAAGGCGGGTCTGAGTCTAAGTGAGTGTGGGCAGGGGTGCACATGTGTGCTTATGTCTCACTGTGTGTGTGCAGGTGTGAGCAGGCACTCTGACTGCCTTGGTCATGTGGGAGACCCCTACTGCTGTGCCTCCAACTCTACCGCTGGCCGTTTTATGTTGGATCACCCACATGAGGCCTTTGCCTAGCCAACTGGGTCTGCGCTGTGGCTGCTTTTCAGTTGACACTTCGATGGCCTGTGTGACTGGAGTTTGAGGCCTGGTGGAACCAAGACCCCATGCTCAAGCAGCCCCTTGTCCACCAGGCTGCCAGCCCTGCTCCCAATCCAAGCATGCCTGACATCTGGGCCTGCTCCCCACTCCCACCCCATGGCCTGGCTGAGACACCCACCCTTTGGATTTCACAGCACCTCAGGAGAGAAAATGCCAGCTGATTCACTGGTGACAAGACTAGGAAGGGACTGGGTGGCCCCAGACTCAGGGTGATGGCCGCGCTTGGCTCTATGATACTCCAGAAGGGAGTATGGGCTTAGTTCTGTGTGAGCTGCAGCCCGAGTGTGCCAGGCTGGCTGGGAGGGGAGTGGGCATGGTATCACCAGGCTGCCAGCCCTGCGTGGTGGGCAGGGAAACCCCTCGGCTCTGGGCAGGCTGTCCGCTGGTCAGCAGGGTCTGGCTGCCCCTCCCCGGCAGCCACAACTCTGTTTTTACAAATCTTTCTGCTTCCATAGTTTGCGCGGCCGGTCTCTGCTTTCCTGACGGTCTCTGTCGTTGGCTGTCTTCTTCCCTGTCTCTGCTCCTTTTCTGTCTCTCTTTCTCCATCTCTGTCCTCCTGTATTTGACTGTCCTTGTCTCTGGTCTGGACCCATCTTTGCCTCCCCCGCCGCCCCCTGAGTCTCGGACTCTTCTGTCTCTCCCCAGCCTCTTTCTGGCCTCTCTCTCTCTCTCTCTCTCCCCCTTTGCTTTTTTTCAAACCAGAATTGGCTTCGATTTTAAAGTCAATAAATGATTGAGCAGGAACGAGCTTGGAGCAGCGGGGCCCTGGCGGGGAAAGGCACTGTGGGTGAGGGGGAAGGGCGGCGGGGGTGGGGGGCGGAAATCTCCTTCTAGAAAAAGCATCAAAATCCAGGGCGGCCAGGCAGGGCAGTTGCTGGAGATGCTGAAGCCCACTTCAGACACAGGCCCAAGTCCCAGGCAGAGACAGGGGGTGGAGGTAGACACAGGGGACCCCACAACAAACAGAGAGACATGTGCTGAGATGTGGACACACACATACACATGCTACTCTACCACCAAGGTGGGGACGCATGACCATTGGCAGGCATACAGATCAGGAAAATGTGGATGTACGTTCAGCATGTACGCGTAAACACATGTGAACCCCTCAGGATGGGACCCATGTATCGATGGATGTCGGCTCAGAGTCGTGGAATACCTCCCAGACCCATGGCCATGGAGACGCATATGGATTCAGAAAACTGTAGACCTGTGCTCACAAGCACCCTCAACACACTCATAATGCGCCCGTGCGTGTGCGTGCACACACACACACACACACACACACACACCCCTCAAGGCGGGACACGAACATGGGCATCATTTCACGGAGACAGTGATACCTCCCAGACCGGTGGAGCCCTCGGTACACACTCGGTGGAGTGTGTTCACCCCACACACACAGATCCCAGGTTGGAGTGATGCCGGGTGTACACCTTTTACACGGAGAGAAGAGGCTGTTGGTTCATCTGGGTGTGCGCACGCATACCTTCTCAAACACAGAGATACATACTGATGCGCGCGCCCCCCTCCTGGCCACGGGGTTGCACATACAACATGCAGACACTTGCGAACACAAAGACATCCATGGGCGTGCGCAGATACACTCAACCTCAGACACACACCTACGCCGATAGTCCCTGCCTCCCGAGCTGCAGAATGTCCCTGCACCTTTGTTTCTGCGCAGTATCTCACACACTCCTATGGGGGGGAGGGGGTGGGCCATGCCCCCTGGCCCCCTTGCTCTGATCCTCTGGGTCACTATGGCCATGTCTCTGTCCTTGCGAAGCGTTGGCTCTCTGTCCCTGTACTAACCCGGTGCTTTTTTTTCCCCCCACCCCTACTAGGTCCTGGGGATTGCACCAGGGGCAGTCTACCACTGACCTTCCTCCCCAACCCTTTTCACTTTTTGAGTTGCCCAGGCTGGCCTTGAGCTTGTGTTCCTCCTGCCCCAGCCTACAGAGTTGGGGAATACAGACGGGTGCTATCCTACCTGGCTCTGGGACTTGCTTTTCATAGCGTATTATCTCTTTGGCTCTAGCCTGGCACACACGTCCCACCCCAGCAGTGGACATACAGGAGGCCTGGGGAAGGTCACTGCTGGGGCTGGACAGGGGCTGTATGAGATGTTCTAGTGCAGGGCCAGGCCAAGTGCAGAGCCGAGACTCTGCTGGGTCAATGCGGCAGGGGGAATACGGTGCTCTGGGAACTGGAGCCAGGGGTCCTGCCCAGCCATGAGAGTCTTGTGTAAGCTCAAGAGCTTCCAGTCAGAGGCTGTGGGAAGAGGGGTCAAGGGCTAGGCTTTGCCATAGTTCAGCACCCAGTTTCAGCTTTGGCTCTGCATCTCTTAATCCTGTGACTCGAAGTGCAGGGTTTTTCCGGTCTATAAATTGGGCATGACAGTGTGTATCTCTCTTGGGCTGTGAGGAGGCTCAGCACGGTGCTTGGCATATAGCAGATGTTCCAGAAATGCACCTGTTCTCATTTGGGTGGTCATCCTCCTGGACCCATCTGTCTGAAAGAAGGATGCTTCTGAGCGGTGGACGACAGGGTCAGGCACCTCCCCACCATGGAAATCTAGTGGACTTCCTGGAGGAAGGAGCAAGAGAAGAATTTTGGGGGCTAGCTCTTGGTCCAGTTCTTTCCTCTTGGATGGAGTCCTATAGGCCAAGCACAGGGAGGCAGGGCTTCAAGGTAGGAAGGGATGATGACGAGGGTGAGGAGGGGGGACAGCCTGCACTGTCTTATGGGGACCTGACACCCTCCTTCGGGGGCTCTGAGCACCAGTAAAGAGAAATGTGTACAAATGCACGTCCCAGACGGAGTGAGACAAAGAGCTCAGAGACTTGGTGCATCTCGATGGCAACCTCAGGGATGTCCCCACAGCTCCAGAGCTGTTTCTACATCTGCGCTTGGGTGTTGAAACTTGGACCCAACTGTGGGGCAGGATTTGGCTAGATCAGGTGGGCATTGCAAGTGGGTGGCAAGCTGACGCCATAGCTGCTGGCAAAATCTCCCTGTGGTCACTGTCTAACTGCTGGCCTATGCATGTAACCCGCTGGGAACCTGGCCTTGCGGTCTGCTTGGGTCTTGTCCCCAGATCTCAAAGTGGGAATTTGGGGTCTTGTAGCTTTCGTCCTCTAGCTGGACCAAGGGAGGCAGGGGAGGCCGATACCTGTCATTTTCTCTGACATGATGCTGCGGACAGGGCTCCTGTCTCCCCAGAGCCCTGGATGTGGGGACTGGG